TTAGACAGGTGGCCGCTTAAATCAGTTAAAATATAGTGAAAAAATGAACGGGCGGGATTGAAACTGGCCGCTCATGAGGAGTGGCCGCTGATTAAAGGTGGCCGTAACAACAGGTGCGACTGTAACTGCTCTATTGTTGACATCTGTTCATTGAGAAATCTCAGAAAAAATATTCTATTATTCTCCTCCGATCAATTAAAATAAAGTTCAGGCAATGCTAAAATTAGTCGAAGTAAAGGGACTTATAGTGCTTTGTTTACTTATTGTACAAATGAAAATAAATTATAATGAAAACTTTTTAAATAAAATATTCAATACCTTTGTATTTATTTGCATTCAGTCAGAATTTAGTCCTGACGCTTGATGAATCAGCTAATTGCCTTTTTTCTTGTTCAAGCAACACCAAGTACAAAAAATCTTTGGTGAAAATCATTTTTAGTATTTTATCCTCAAATAGTCCTTACCAAATAGGAGTGAATTCTTGATTTGTACTTTTTAATGACTTTTATGTCTACTCTCGCTGTTATGACATTTCTCATAAATTTACTTTCTTTACAAATTAAAAATATGTAATTAGTTTTAACCAAATTTCCTCTTTTTTATATTTTATTTGATTAGACGAGATCTCGCGCACAGGTTCTTCTTGATGTGCTGGATATTTTATATTATATCAGAGATAGTAAATTTTGACATTTACTAAATTAGGGGTAGTGTGGAGTGCTATTGACTTTGACAAGAGAATTTAAGTAAATATATTAATGTTACATAATGTTGATTACAAGAAACAATTCAGTGTAAAGATGTGGCAAAATTCAACTAATAGTAATCAAGATAATAATTTCCTCAATATCAAATGAATATACATTTGTATTCAACAAAAAAGCAAGTCAAGTTATTCTAATAAAAGTATAAATAAGATTTCTTGAGCGAAATACTTTCCTTCATTTAAACAGTAAAGGAATAATAATGAAGCGAAGGAGTTGTAGCATGTTTATAATATTTTTTTCTAAAACGGGGATAAGATTAATTTATCAAAAGACCTCTTTCAAAACTTATCAATTATGACATTTCCGTAGAGAACAATGTATGGCACTGGGAGAATTTGGCCCCTTAAATGATTAAAAACAAACAAAACAGAACACAGATAAAATTGTGATAATGTAGAACTTAAAATGATGCCCATTTTAAAACCAGTACTAATTTTGATTCAAAGCTACATAGAAGGCACATGAGGGTACAAAAGAACATTATCCCGAATCCCTCAATGTTGGATTGAATTTTGTCAAATTCAAGACTTTTTTTTCGGGAAATATTAATTGACACAAGCTTGCCTATCTGAGACCTTTAAACACGAAACCATCTGATGCATATTTTGAAAAATATTTTAATTTTGGTCTTCTCTACTTTTACAACATGTGATAGTAAAATAAAGATTTTGAATTAAGCTTAAGATGTTTCATGATCCCTGGACCAGTAGTCCCTCGATGCCTTCTTATGAAGTAAACAACAACTCATGCAGGAACATCATAAGTAATCTTAATTTTTGATGATTTAGGGGAAACACTATCTTTAGTTGTTCTTTTAATTGAACTTTATTTTACATTTACATTTATAGTATGAATTGATGCCAAACTTTATTGCTTAAAATTTTCTTAATTTTGTATATAGATATAGAATATTAGTAAGGTATACACAATAATCGCATACTAATAACTGTTTTGTATAAAGATACATTTATCTTTTATTCGTTTTCTTGATTAACGTCCTTTCAAGTATTTTCTGTTTTCGTCCTTGTTATTTTTTAGAATGCTGCTGTGTATTGTATCTCTCGCACATTGAGAAACCTCACCGTCTATGGGGTTGATCAACCCGATATATTTTGTAGACAGTCAGAAAAAAGCTTAAATAATTGTCGTCTTTCAATATATTGGAGGCACAAATGAAAATAGAGAATTTCATGAATTATATGCGTAGTAACTAACTGATTACTTAAACCTGGACAAAGCTTATAAAGCTTTATTCTACACAATACATTCATCTAGATCTGTTATGTCAAAAAGGATACATGAACTAATTTATAAATTTTGTGTCAAAAAAGGCAGCTTACTGGTTAGATATTGAAAAAACTTTATTCGGTAATAACCAATATTCGCCCCCCAAATTAAACTTTGATAGAGATATATAATTAATTAAGTTCTTAAACAGGGGAGTATATGCTGACTTCAAAGCACTAAATATTTTCATAAGTAATGACGCCTTATGTACGTAATGACGTCACAAACATGACGTAAATTTAAGTTTTTATGAATTTTACAGAAAAATGTACATATTTTGTCGATATTTTGAGTAAAAGTCACCGAGCGCATGTGTGTTCAGGAACAATATTTTGATATAATGTGTAGAATGATAATATCAATGAAATATGTCAATATTGTTCCTGAACAAATATGCGCTCTTTAAGTTCTAAAGCTAAAATTGTTGAAATTTTGTCCATTTTGTCCTCTTTCTGAAAAAGGATATAAAATCGGACTAGTTTGTGACGTCATAAAAACAAAAATTGTGAATACACTGCTTTGACACAATAATATTTTCTGTTAATTTATATTTCTCATACAATTTATTGAATTCAGCACATTTCGGGTAGTTTTCAAAATTTGACTTTTGTGGGGGCAAATATATGCAATATACCGCATATAGTTCTTTGAGCATTATTTATTATCAAAACCACTGTCATTCTATATAAATAGTATATAGTTATAAATTTTCCGATAGAATAACTTACCGTCGGAAACAACTGTTACAGTTATATGTTACATAAAATCAAACAATAACAATGTTTTTGAACAAGTACTATCTTGAGGATTTTCGAAAGCTAATTTACATTAAATCTTTTTTCAATAAAATCATATTGTGATATTTACGTATAAATCAAAATAATATTTTCATCATGTCCGTGTCCATTGAATATTAATATATATTTTTATATATTAAGTTTCACTTACAGGAAGTTATTATTTTATTTATAAAACGAAAACATTATCTATTCCTGGTATAAATCATTTCCTTGGTAAATTATATATACATTTTAAAAATAAAATTAAAATTCTATCTAAATAGAAATCATGAGCACCCGTTGTGGACCTAAGTACATTGCTGAAACCAAAGTTCCACATAAAAAGAATATTTCAACAAAGATTTGAACGATAGGGACCAGCAGCTTCTCTACAAACATGTTGATAACGAACAGCCATCTACATGTATATATATGTATTAGCAATGCAAACTGTGAATAAAAAAGTAGGAATAAAATTTAGAAAAGATATACAGTCATATTGATAGCCCATCTTTGAGAACACCTTTCCGTAGACAATAGCATATTACTGGATTAAGCATCGAAAAACGGTCTTCACATATGGAAATAATGTAAAAGCCGAAGTTGATTTGAAATAATTAGTTAAGAGTGTTCTGAAATAATTGTGAGGGAAGTTTGAAATAACACACAGAAATGCAAGACGAGTCATAGCCATAAGTCGTAAAATCGACATTCATGAATTATTCGCAAAGTCCTGTCCATCGCAGTTGCACCATCGTTGTACTCTGTCTCTTTCATAGTTTGAAAATTTCTATTTATTAAAAAGAAAAAAAAATATTATTTAGATTCTTCGACACAAGAATAGCGTCTCCAAATGAGTGAAAAATTCTCGAGAGAGACGTTAAACATTTTACAATCAATCAATCCATCGACACATGAATAAAGGATTAAGTTAGATCTTAGTTTGATGGATATTAAAAATCAACAGCTATTAGAAGTCTCATGGATCATAATTTTGCAAAGGAAACATGTATGTTCATCAAAGCTATATTTTCCAAAAGGAAATAGCCTTTTTTATCAGTAATGTGTTATAGATATAAATTGGCCAAGTCCTGTTTTCCACCATATTTTAAGTGTAAGTCCAAGCCTTGTATTTTATTGTAAAATTATTTACCAATCATTATTTCCAAACTTTGGATACATGTATTTGAACTGACATTAGTTCTATGGAATTAAAAAGAAGTTAAAAAACCCTTTCATGAGAATAAATCATTATAATTCTATTTTTGCACACGAAATAAACCAATAAATCTCACCAAATATTCATCTATGTCTATTATCATAATGCTTTTTATAGCTAAGAAGGATAATTTATGAAATATAATCCTTATTTTAAGGGAAATCAAATTGTATTATCTACTCTGTCATAAGAGATTTAATAATTGTGTTTTATTAGAACAGGACATTTTTAAGAAGGAATCTATGCATAATGTTCAAGCAAAATTAATGAGAGATGATACAAACAAAAAAAAAATGGATACCTGGATGTGTATATATTTCTGGGTTTAATTTTGTTGCAAATAAAAAAAGCTTATAGTTTTCCAAAATATTAAGAAATTTTAAAGATTCTATGACGTTCAAAATTCTACCTTTCTGTAACCAATCTTACTACATGTAATCCATACAAATGTTTTTCAATTCAAATTCCATTTTTGTGAAAATTTTAATGAATAGTGAAAATCTAAGAAAATTGTATTCATTTTCTCACTGAAACATGACTCAGGTTGTTACATGTATTTTCAGTAGTTTTGACAAAAGCTTGTTTGTATCATATATCCTTAAACACATGTTAAAGATATGCATCATACATCAAAACCTTGTGATGTACAACAACCGAGGTTTGTAGAAAATTGAAAAATAAAGATAAAAAATAAACTGAATGAGTGCCATAAAACTAAGAGCAATAATGCTAGAAAGGAGTGCGTTTGGATTTCTGTGACTTCCCGCAGACGTGCAGTTCTCTTCCCAACCTAAAAAAATAAAAAATTTTTAAATGAAAATTCACTTCTTTCGTAAAGACTAGTAAAACGGTTTAAGGAATTTAATAAAAGGTTTGAGTTATATATGTACATCGTATACTTTAAAACAATGTAACTCTGGCAAAAATTTCTCTTCTGAGTGGGTTCGCACTTTTTATGATGTGTTGCAAACGGAATACAGACCACAATGTAAAACTTCAAGAAAAGAACTTTTCTATTTATATTTTGTGTTTCATAGTATGCCATTCTTCATTGTCTAATACGATCTCCAGATTAAGGAAAATTTATGTTAACAACAGTTATAATGCAGCTCAAATTGTCATTGCTATTTTATGCAAATTGTTAATCACTCATTTTGACAAATATTGAACATGTTACTATAGTAATTGAAAATCTTGCCTTCATTATACCCTATTCCGTACCCCTCACCTTCACAACCAATCACAGAATTACATTGTTCTTCTCTGCATTTATATTTTGACTTGCATTTAAACCAAAATATGGATATGAACAATTTTGTTGACATGTCTTTCCTTGGAAACCAGGTGGACATTCTAGAAAATAAAAACATACACAGCATGACTATAATGATTAAAGGATTTTTTGTATTATCACAATTACTAAAATAAATTTTATTAACGAGTAGAATGTAATGGGAAAATTGAAACTTTGAACCTTTCTATTAAATTTGCTTTTTTAAAAACTTTTTTAAAGAGCATCGACTTTCCTCGCAGATCAAAGTTTTTTTTCCAATTTTCCTTTTATGAGATAAATCCCATTATCAGCATTTAAAACAGATTTTGAATTGAAAAAAAATTCAATTGTGAGGCAATATTAGAAGTAGGGATGTCAACGAGTTCCCAGTTAACCAGCCACTCAAACATCCGAGTATCGAATACTAAAACTGCTACTCGGTTGCTCCGTATATGTTTTATCATAATTATTTATTAATTCAAAAAAGATGTTTTAAAAGATCAATATTATATAGGGTTATTGAACTTATATTGGTGAATATTGGCACAAGTTATATTGGGACATTTGAACAGCCAGCAAGTGCCGATAGTCATCAATATAAGTTCAATAACTCCTTTATTATATAGCTAAAACATTTCAACATAATTATAATATTTATTCCTACTATAATCACCTCATATTTATGATTTTTTAGTATCGGTATTCATATTTACGTCTGTCCTGTTAGCGTTCAATATCGCATCATTCCGATGACTCAACCAAGCGATATGATTTGCTTGTTTAGGTTTTAATGGGTCTAATACGTACTATACTTTGATAAATAAGTTCATATTTGTGTAAAAAAAATAAACACATCTTACCTAGATGCCACTTCCTTTCTTTAATTTAGCTCTGAGAATTTGACCAGACGACTTTTTTTGTATACAATGGGGCGTTCAGTATTAAACGCTCGATTTCGGAATGTTTCGGACATTCTCGTACACGTAATACAAACTCATGATCAGCGTTCAATAAAACGTCAAGATATTGAACGCTAAAATTCTCTTGATTTTTTGTAGCATTTTAATAGAGGCCATTCTTTACATATATAATAAAGAACAAGAAATTTATTTCGTTTGGCTCGATGTTTACCATAGGCAAACGGAAAAAATCTATGATGGGTTTAATCAGGGCTAAACTACTTAAAACATTAATATTTTATAATTTAACGAATGTCCGGGTACTCGATCCAAAAATCCTCCGAGTACTGTATACTAACTTTTATTCACATGCAAAAATATCCGCGAGTTTTGCAAGCTACTTTAAATCGCGAATATTAATTACCGTAAACCAATAATTTTCATTTTTATTTCAAAAGAGCAGTCGCGAAAATTGATGGTCGTAGATTGCTTTCAAAATGTTGAATCGCGAATAAAAGATGACGCGAATAATAGTTGGTTTACAGTAATCGATTATCAAAATTTGACCGATTTGACATACCTAATTTAAAGTATTGACTAAGGTGTTTCCCTGTTTCATACTCCAAATATTTAGATGTGGTACCTGTTGACAATATATAAATAACCATACCTTTACATCCATGTATATGATCACAATGTTGCTTGGCACAAAAACACGCTAACTGGCAACCCTCTCCAAAGCTTGGGAATCGGCAGGGTAATTCACATTTTGGTCCAAAATATCCCACACTACAATCTAAAATAACAATAAAAGAAATAATAAAGAATATCTATTGACAGATCAGATCATCTTGTTGTTTCTATGTACTCTTATCATTTCTGTAGAGATTCCAATTAAACTACTAACCTGTAGTGTTCGTCAAGAATACGATTTCAGTTGAAGACAAAAGTAATAACATTAAGTTTCGGAATGATGCTTTACACATATTGCGACTTTTTATGTCCTTGTCAAATAGATATTTCTAAGGAAATAATTTAGCAGCACGCTAACTGCAAATGATCGAAAAAACTTTATATTGTAGAATTAAGCTTACATTTTAACTTCCTGATCAATTGTAAATCTGGAAACCATAATAAATATTATCAAAAATATCATTTCAGTAGATTATTTATATATCAAAGGGAAAGAGGAAATAAATTAATGCTACAGCTGCAGGCATTTGTTTCAGAAATAATGTTTCTACCAATGTATGATAATAGAAACATAATATCGAACTTCAACAACACAGAGTACCACCATTCGATTCACTTTCATTAACACTTTCAGAGGAGATGCCCCGACAAAGTTTAAATTACTGCAGAAGTACTTTTTCCGCGTGGTATTAATTAACGCCATGTACGCGGTCACATATTTTCCGCGGAAATTTGTCCAAGCGTACTAAAAATACATGCAAGGTATATAAGGACAGCCAAGATATCCGGGTAATTTCCTGCCTGCGGAAATTAACTTGACTTTCATGATGTGTTTGTAAATTTTATCATAAAAATGAATCTTTGATTCACAAATACCTTGATTCTTTTTGGGCATTATGTAGTCTGAAGAATTTTTTCCGGTTCTGTTGTCTGAGTAACTGCTTCCAAAAAGGTAAAATATGAATATGTCGATTCTAGATATAAAACAAGAAATCAAGAATACTACTTTTCGCTTTATAGACCTGAAATACGTTGAGTTTTTAACGTATTAAGTTACTTCTCCTAATTTTAACAGGACTGGTATTTAATGTCATCAATACAATCAATTTGAATGATTTACTACCCGATGAGTACTTTTTGCAGCCGATCACGTGGTGACAATTTTCGTTAGAACAATTACATTTAAACTTGCAATCTTATCCATATTGTGGTGAAGGACAAGCGTATTTGCAATCTTCTCCGAAAAATCCGATCATGCAAGCTGTGAATAAATAAGATAATAAGATTACATAGGTTAACAATTCCGTACATGTTTCTGACTGCCTTCTTCGCAATTATATTTGTTTGCTTAAAATCTAAGTATAGGTTATTGAAATTCAAGATTATGTCTCTATATATTTAATACAAACGTGAGCATTTATTTAATGTATCATTCCACAAAAATCCTCTACAGCAACTCGTCCCGTTTCGCTACAAATGTAAAGAGCTCGAGAATATTACAATATAAAAGTAACTTACATATGATATTATAATTAATGAGAAGAGTGTGTTTCTAAATTATAGCAGATGTAAAGAAATTATTTTATCAAACGACTTCATTTTGATCATTTTCTTATTTTCATTTGTCAGACATTCTGCATAATAACGGATAATGTTATTTTATAACGCTCTTCTTAGCATGGTCTTATTGTTTTTTTTTTTTTTTTTTAGTTTTTGTTTGTTTGTTTGGTTTTTTTTTTGTTTGGAGACAGTTTGCAGTTTCTTTTTCTTACTTACCCTTTGCAAATTTCAGTTGTAGAAATAAAAAAAAATGAAATAGTAAACATATAATGCACGTAGCAAAATAAAGAAATTCCATTTAATACTTTGACGGCAATCACAAAATATTGTATTTTGAATCCCTGTTTGTTATCAGAGAAAAAAAAGTGTACTACACTTCCCCTGAAATGTTTTTGATTCCTCTTTCAGCCTATGACACTTACCTATTTAAAATTTGAAATAATATTAAATGGGTTTTTGTATGCTTAATTTCATCCGTTAACACTATAATATCATCACATCCGTGTTTTTTTTTTAATTATTACGCGAAAACCTTGGTTTATTTTTATTGGCTGTTTACATCTAATACGATTCTGATGGGTTACTTTTTCAATGACTTTATATCCAAGAGTATGACCATGATTGAATAAAATGCAGAAGTACATGTAATGTAGATTTGTTCACGTCTACGGTTATTTTTCTATTCATTAAATGAAATGTGGAAATAACTAATAACATGAAGCCCAAAGTCCATTTACACTCCGCAGATTTGAGGAATAAGCAAAAAAGGCACGAATGGATAGAAATCCCTATTACAATTGGAATAAAAGATCTCACAAAAGCTGATCTATAGAGCATTCATTTTTATTGCCTATTTAGTCGCCCGCATAGCGCAGTATTTGGAGCCTCTGCTCTAGGGTCGGGAAGTAAGGAATTAATCATCATATCAAGGGTTCAAATCCCACTCTGGGACAAGGAAAGAGGTCCTTTGGATGAGACCGTTAAAAGGAGGCCCCGTGTCTCAGTAGGTGCTGGCATGATCCCTCGCTACTCAATGGACTAAGTTCCGAGTTTATGACAAAATTTGCGCCCTCCATCGGCAAGTTATGGCGTCTTCATATCAGAAAAATATTCTCGAGAGGGACGTTAAACAACATACAATCAATCAATCTATCGCTATTTCCGGTGCAAATTGCAATTGGCAGGTACAGGAAAATTTCATTGTCGACCTAATGCATTTTTTTATTACACTGTAATCTTAACAATGATGGTCTTTGTTTTGGTTTAACTGGACCTCCTTAAAAAGGAAGACCATTAAAAAATGTTAAGAGCCTTTCTTCGTCTACAGTATCTATACGTGAGTTTTCTCCTTTTTACACACATTTCCTTTCAGCTATTAAAAAGTACACCCAAGTTTTGTCTTTCATCGCGCAATTTTACACTAGCCTTCTCTTTTAACCGTTTTTTTTAAATAGACCATTGATAAATTCAACGGGTGTTCACACCAATGCTTCTTCTAGTGAAAGACACTGAATATTAGAATAAATAGCAATTACAAAAATTATCAATGAAAAGTATGCAAAAAAGAAATTGTAAACCATCAGCAATAATTATTAATTAGAAACAATTCCATTTACATTGTACTTTTTGTGTCTTGAATCTATGCATATTCCCCATACATACAGGAAATAATATGCAAGAGTTATGTCTGTTCTATCCCTACAAAATTGATCATAGAGGCACAACGTATATGAAATATAACTTCCTATTTTTTTTTGATAAAAATATCAAGTGACAACTGGTACTTTAAGCCAATACTTCCGTGTCGTATTTTGAGCAAACAATATTATATGATTGACTGATCGATTGATTTTATTTTGTTTAAGCACATTTGAGAACTTTTCACTTATATAGAGACATCACGAATTAAATTGGTGAACGATTTAAAGTTTTGTCCTTATCTAAAATTACCATGGAAACCAGTATTTGGACTTCCTTTACAGCAGATAGGTTATTAATAAGCTTTCTTTAGTGCGATTTGAACATAAAACCATTGGAAGTCTTTCATTTTGGTGTGTGTGCATTTTATACAGGACCTCCAAAAAGAATGAAAACTAATCAAACATGTTTAGAGCCCTTGCTTCTCTTCACTATAATAAACTGGCAGCCTATTTGATTCCACAATTTAATATTGATATTATTTTTCGGCTGTAAAAATTCAACATTGATGTTTTACGACTGTAAAACCTAGGTTTCGACACTCATCGTGCAAATTAAGTTATTCAATTTTAGAGAAATATCATTTTTCCCTTCGGCAGAATTCCATAAGAGATTGTGATGATAAAATGAAGTGTCTTAACTAGAACACGGTATTGTTTCTATACAAATCTTGCCTTGTGATTTAAAAAAAAAAACTGGTGTAAAACATAAAAACATATGCTTACTGAATCATTGAAATTCCATGCAGAAAAATCATACAAATCATTTTTCTCACATGTGTTTTTAAATGCTATTTGTGACCTCATAAACATATTTTCTTCGAAAGTTGCACAAGACACAAATTTTCAATGGAATTCTCTTTTAGAAAATGTTGGCCACGGGCATCCTTTGATTTTTCAAATTGTTTTTTTTACACAGCATATCAAAAAATTAAAGTGAGTGACGGCTGTGTACACTGTTTTCTAAAGGAAAATTACCTTGAAATTGGTTAACTTGAAGCTTTTTCCGTTAAAAATACAGAAATGCATTACATTGATGACGTCATATTTGCAGAATGGTAATCCTTTGTGCCATATTCTTTCCTGATTTTTCAGTCTTATACTTGACTAATATGTAAGCTAGTTTCAAGACTTTTTTTATAACATAACATTTGTCGGGCACAAAAAAGCTGAAACCATACCTTCTTGTTTCTTCCAATGTAAATCTAGCCTTTGCACATATTTTGTGGCACACAATTTTGAAATTTTTTGGTTTACCCACAGAATTCAATCTAGAGAATCTGCAACTTTACTTTTTCCTTTCAAATTTCAATCGATTTGAAAACTACATAATGTTGAGGATTATTTTTTCATATATAAAATCATATCTTTTCTATTTTTTTTTTTTTCGGGGGGGGGGGGGGGGGGCAAATAATCTGAAAAGCACAATATTCAAATACGCACATATGCCCTGGCTTTTAAATTTCAAACTACATTTCTCGACGTTAATCGTTATTCGGTAGTTTTCACGAAAATGTCGACTTAATTTCTTAATAAAAGCTTTGTTTTGCTATAGCCAATGCGAGTCTTTTAGAAAATTAATTTGAATACCAAAGTTATGATTTGTGTACAATAATTAATACAAAACAATAATAATAATAACAAATGAATAAAAAATCAAAATATTTGTGAAAGAAAAAAATACATATATTGTATAATTTGTTTTATTATACATGCACAAAAATTAAAAAGACATTGAACCATTCTTATGATATCAAAGTAATACTTATTGATTAATTCCCTTCATGGATAGAAATAGATGAACTCGGAAATTAAATCATTTTAAGTGATGCAAAAACCTAATCCACATTCATACACGAGATTGTTTGAACAATTTTATTTGGAAATTTAATCCCCATATGAATATTAATACTTATCAGCAATCTTTTTTAATACCTTTTTATCCCATAAAATACCCGACTTAAAAAAATACAGTTGAATCCAGGTTTTGAAAGATTATTTGAGTTACTTTTGCTGCCTATCCTGTTTATATTATAATGTTGAGAGAATATACCTGAATGATAGCCCTTCCATGCAAGTATTCGCAACTGTGAAATTTATGAAAAAAAAAATGTTGCGAAAAACTAATGTGCTTATAATCTTTTTCTTGTGTCTTTCATCAATATTTTCTATTGTGCGATTGTTTGAAAAGACAATGACAAGAGATGAATCGTTTGATAACCTTCGTCCATTACATTCACTTTATTACATTGTCACTCTTAAAAACATCAGTCGATCATGGTGTGCTTTACAGTGTTCAATGCACCAATATTTGTGTAGAGCAATTTTATACAATGAGGACCTCTTTTCTTGTTATCTTTTGAACTGTTACCAGAATGAACGACTGGTGGACAGGGGCCGAATTGATGGCGGATGGGAATTCTGGATTCAAAATGACGGTATGTTTATTATTCAAATTATTTTTTTTTCATTTGTCACTGAACTTAGATTTTATTAAGCGGAGGCTGACTATACAGAAGTACCTCTTCTCACCTCTACTGATTTAGACGTCCATACCTGCTTTGTGCCTTTGTTACAACGCACTTTGAAATTTTTTTTAAAGTGCGTTGAGTTTGGGACCAAATCAACGCACTTTGAAAAAATAAAATTCTTTTAAAAGTTGCGTTGAAAAAATTGTATATGGCTTGGTTAATACTATTGAAAATCTTAGGTATGGTAAATAATTGAACCTGTTGGATAACTTTTCGATGATAAGGTCAGTTCAGGATGTGGAAATTAGCGATTTTAATTTTTCCATACTTTGAGAATTCTTCCAGGTCGCATGCATTTAATGTAATCTAAAATTTATTGAAAGTTGTCAACGTCACACCAGTTAAGCAGATACAAATATTTGGGTGTAGGAATCAGTACCGGGGCGGGGATGGTTAGTCACACAAATGTCTTGCAAAGATATACATAATAAAGGAATTAAAAATTGGGGCTCACCTGGAGGGGGGTAGCCTAGGTCACGCAAGTCGATTGACCCCCCCACTGTGTAAGACCATCGATGCGACGTACATGTAGGTGACCTAGACTAAGGGGTTAGGGGGTGGAAGGGGGTTCCACTTTCAATTTGATACCTCAGTTAAAAAGAGTTGGTATGAGAGACATTCTATATACTCATCTTCTCCTTGTTCTCGATTAGGGTTAATCAATACATGTATATTAAAACGTTTTTTCGAAAGATATAGTTATTACTAATTGATTCTCTCAATTACTAATATCTAAGTCTAGAATTTTTGTTTTATACATATTTTTTATAAGTGTGTATAATGTCCACATGGTAAAATTGTTGAAGTACACTCTTAACGCACTTTGAAAAAAAATTTCAGAGTGAGTTGAATGTGTCCCAAATATAACGTACATTGAAAAAAAAATTCAAAGTGCGTTGATTTTGTTGCAATTTTAGCGCACTTTGAAAATTTTTATTCAAAGTGCGTATTTTTTTCAAAGTGCGCTGCCACAGTGCCTCAAGAAAGAGAACAGGATTCCGTTTTTAATTCATTCAGAATTCAGAATTCAGAATATATATATATATATGTATATATATATATATATATATGTATATATATATATATATATATATATATATATATATATATATATATATATATATATATATATATATATATATATATATATATATATATATATATATATATATATATATATATATATATAATCTGAATTCTGAATATATATATATACATATATTATTTTTATCATTTTTTCCCAGCTCTCTGATTGGCTCAAACTTGATCACATGATTTAGTATATAACAGCATAAAGACTTGAGTTACTATTTATAGAATCTGAAATGCATATCGACTTGAGGTTTCTTAAAATGGAGATAATTTCCGTGAAACAAAATAGTACTGTATTCAATCAAAGCTAATACAGTGTATGATTTGATGTTTCTAGAAAAAAAATATTTATTTCAACTTTTACTAACTTTGTTTCAATGTTCTGTATTTGATGAGACAAAAGAAGGCATTGGATTAGGATTACTTCATATTAATTAAAACATATTCGATATGTGTGACAGTGTCAAATATTGATACAAAACTTAATCAAATAAATGAAGTATTCTGAATAAGTAAATCGTCTAAATCACTCCATCAATATAAAGGAAACGCATTTACATTAAACGGTGTAATTTATTTTGATCTCTAGTCTCTAATTGTTAAAGGGAGAAAACTTTTCCAATTATTTTCATAATTTGTTTTGTCAATCTATGTAAAAAATAATATAACAAATGTAGCCCTTTAATTCGGTCAATCCATAGATATATCGACTTCACAGAAAAGCATATCGACCTCGCACTTCGTGCTCGGTCGATATGCTTTTCTGTGAAGTCGATATATCTATGGATTGACCTCATCAAAGGGCTATATTTATATAATATATTACCGGCCTTCATCAGTCGTGTTTATTTGAATGCATAGCAACTCAACAGTATTATGACGTCACAATGAACATAGAAATTGAGAGGCAACGTCATGCAATAAAATTGCGCCAAAAACATCTGAAAATATTGTGAGAGAAAAAAATTGTACTTGTGTATCAACATTTTTATCATACAGGATAAAATACTAAAATACGGGTTATATTAAAAAGATGTTTTTAAAGTATATATACGAGGGGCATTTCAAAAGTTCTGGCAACTGTTTAATAAAAGATTAACCGTTTTACGGAAATTATTGAGTTTAATATCATTGGAAAGATCAGAAAAATATACACATATTGTCACGTCACTTTATAATTTTAATGACGTAATAACTCCGAAAATGACGTCAGAATATAGAATGTTCAGCATACTGACAATAAAAATGACGTAACAAAAGAGGCAATTTGATCAAATTAAATTTTTCACGACAACTTTTGCTCATTACTCGGACGCAAGTTAACGGACGAAAATGCCAGTTGGTGGAATGTTTACATAGACTACAATCTATCATATGGTACTTTATTTTGAAAATCTTCTTGTTCTGAAATGGTTTTATCGAGTGTCAAAATTAGCATGGTTTTATCGAATCTCGCTCAAACTTTTGCGTAAAATAGACCTAAATGTGAGAAAAAGACAAAGTTGACAATCAAAGAAAAATAGGCGATCGTGTTACAAACTTAGATGGCATAAATTCGTCAGGTGTTTTAACCAGATTTGTGGGATCGATGAAGGCTCAAGAGAAGTAAAGTTTAGTGTGCCCAATATTTTCTCGTAAAATCCAAAATGGCGGCGATGCAGTTGTAACCCCACCGTACCTCCACATATTCACAAATTTTAATGCATGGAAAATAAATGAGACTTTACATGTTTGAGTAACTTATATTCATTTTTGGATTCAAAAGTCAAAAGCAATAGTGAGTTTTGGGGTGCCGAAGTTGAATTTATATGAAAAAATACGCACAGATTCCAGTTGGGGACAAGATTTTGTACAGTTTATTCGTAAACGGTAAGAGTCCTGTTACTCAAAATATATTTGATGAAAACTGCATTAATATACTTCAGTTTAATACAGAACATGTTTTATTTCAAACAATGGAGAGCTAAATAAAAGACCGAAAACTCAGCCGTATCATGTTAATAAAAATCTTAAATGAATGTCGATGATAACATAACTGGACATAAACAGTGCAAGTAAACAAACCATACAATGAATACTGGAATTGCTGATAAACAATATCATAGCCCTACTCTACTTCTTTTCAAATTTAAATTTTCTTTGAAATATTTTTTCAAATAAGCCTTTGACCGAACTTTTACGATCATATCATGTGGATAAAAACGCGACTTATCAGTATGCCTAACATTCTATATTGTGACGTCATTTTCGGAGTTATTACGTCATAAAATTATAATGTGACGTCACAATATTTGTATATTTTTCTGATCTTTTCAATGATATCAAACTCAATAATTTCCATAAAACGGTTAATATTTTATTAAACAGTTGCCAGAACTTTTGAAATGCCCCTCGTAAAAGTATATCTGTAAAAATAAGTATCACAATGTCACACAAATGTTCATAAATCCAATTCAAACACAGAAGTGTTCCCTTTTGTTAATGCCAAGTGCATCCGTTATTATCTTCAAACTGGCTGGTTTTCACAACAAATTTTCACAAAATACATTTTTTAGCACCACATGGCTCACATAGATTTCCTTTTTTAAAAAATAAATTGTTGTGTTTTTCATACACTAAAATGTCTTTCAAATTTTTGTCTCTTTTATAGGCAACAATTGGGGTCTTTTTGAACGCGAGTTTCAGGCGATCGGAATTTTCAAGAATTTTTTGTCTTTTCTTCAAAATGTTATGAATATTCGGTAATCCTTTTGAATAGGTCAACACAAGGGGAATACGGTCATTTCATTTCGTGTTAAGTATAATAATTTGAACAAATTTTGCATCATTTGATTACAAAAAAATTGCTTGCTAATAACGGGGCGCGATTGGTAACGGTATTTCCAATAGATTGTAGGAAGACCTAATCTAAAAAAAATCATATAGATTTTGCATATCAGACATTGTATTTTTTAATATTAGCTCCAGAGTACTTATATGTACAATCCGAATGTATTTTGTAAGAAAAATAATCTTGCAAATGACCAATCATATGTCAAGTAACAGGTTCCATTTTTATTGAATGAGCAGCTGTCAATGATGTTAAAATATATTTGGAAAAATCATTTAAGATATGAATAAATGTCAGAGATATAGAAAATTATGACCAGAAATTAAATATCAGATTAAAAATAGATAATTTTTCTGTTCTTTCAGCTTGCCCTACCGGCTGGGTTCCCTTTCAATACCATTGTTATTTCCTCAACAAAACCACCGTACCCTGGAGTCAAGCCAAGGTTTGAATTTCAAAAAATCAAAAAATAATAAATTTATATATATATAGTTCAGGTCCGTTTTAACATTTAGTATTAACCGATTCATCTGGTAAGATAGTTGATATTTGTAATACAAAATGTACATACCTTTTTCGATGGAGTAAAATTTTTATCAAATTCTTATCTTACTGTGAGCAATTCGAAAATGTTACGTAGGACAACATTAAGGATTAGTTTCTCGTTGCACGATCCATTCCATGGATTCATACAAGGCGATTAGTAATTCAGAACTTTATCAAAAAGTGTAGTTTGGTTAATATTACAAAATTTGAGTGATTACAGCTCGCTTAAAATGCTGACAATGCATTTAAATAAGTAGATTATATATTTTCCAAATGACAGCCATTATAAAAGATGGTTCATATTAAAGACGCTATGCTTCATGTTGAGACGAAAATGTCTGGACATTTGAGCAAATATAACCATTTAAAATGTGTTATCTGCAGCTAATGAGACATGAAGCTAAGGAAAAATACTTATTATGTTACTTATTGATATAACAACCTTCAAATGGGATTTATAAAAAAAAAAAGAGCAAATGTCGGTAGAATTTATACTCTATGTGTCCTTTAATTTTTTGCTTTTTAAATGTAAATAATTTCATCAGTTTACAATTGATTTCAGTAGAATTTGTTAATAATGTGCATCTAATAGGTAGAGGATTCAGAAAGGACATTAGTGTTGTTCTGAAATTTCTTATCTTAATATATAGCAATTACCCAAACTGACAAAATATACTTTAAAAGTTTTTGAAAATTTACTTTTAGACTTAACTGAATATTGAGAAGATTTTGAAATTGCATTTATCCTTTAGAGTCACTGTATTTTAAATTTTATTTACGATGTAGGTTCAATGTGAGTACCATGGAGCTTACCTACTAGAAATAGATTCTGGCGAAGAAAATACATGGGCCATGGAAACATTTCTCCCTCTTTGGAATGCTGGTACGAATACGTGTAATATTCTAATTTAAGATATACTTATATGAAATGTTTTTGCTTCTAGGTACATGGAATTAACAAACTTAAAAAAAAATTGCTGGTAAACGATAGAGGGCATACTAGTTTTTTTTTAACTTCAACCCTTGCAAATACGTATAAAAAGTCTCTTTTTTATTTGTTATGTTCATTTTAAATTTTAAACTAAATCTTAAAATAAGATAATTCATAAAAGATAAAGTAAGCCAGATGTGAGGTATTGTTACGATGTCTAATGTTTATATTTATAGCCGACTGCTCAAACTGGTGGGACTGCTGCGAGTGCTGGATCGGGGCCACAGATATCGAGATTGAAGGAATGTTTACTTGGACTAGCCATGTAAATATCTCGTTTTCCAATTGGTATGCCAGACAGCCTGATAATCTTAACATGGCACATTGTGTCCGTATTTGTCGAAATGGATTCTGGGATGACACAAGTTGTCACCGAAACAACACATTCATTTGTGAAATGGTGTACTTCTGAAATTATTGTCACGATTTCGATATTTAGAAGACTGTTATAATTGAAATAATGAAATAGATTCACGAAAAAAAAATTATAAGGTGATATAAACTTGAAAAAATTGTTTGCTTAATTGCTGTATGCCATTTTTAAGCTTTTTCAGGATGTAAGCATGCGCATCGCAGCATCAGAATCTTTGCGTTTAGTATTTCTTTTATAATACATTTGTAAATTCATATATTAAATCGCAGTTATGGATAAAAACCGAAAGTCTAATGTTAATTAACACATTGTATTTTCATGAGAACTTATTTTTTATTTTAGAAAGATCTATTTAAAAGTGATAAAACAAAGTAATTGCAAAAAATCACTTATCGATTGATGTATACACGTACACATTAAAAGACGTACAGATGCCCTTCACCAAACGTCATGATATGTGTTTCATAAAATTATATTATGTTCGTTATCTTTATACATTTTATAAATGCAAAAATAGTATGAAAATCTAGGTTAGTTAAAAAAATATTAACTAGAGTTAAATTTAACTGTTGTGTTTAGCTGTTTCTGGGAGGAAATTCTTTTTTATCTTTCTCCCTCTTCCTTACTTTTCTGAAACTGGCTCTGTTAAAAACAAAACATCAATGGAATATATGGATATAACGAATAATGTCAAAGCTCAAAAATACATCAAACAGTATAAAATAGGAGCAGAGCAAACACGGACCTCCAAAACATAATTGCGAGATCAGATGTCATAGGGTGAGCATCCCCTGCCAAACCGGTCACTCTAGCCATGTGCTCCTTACAATGACTGGAGAATAAAAGAAAAATCTATCGTCAATTCATGTTTAAATATTGGACTAAAAATTAGTAGGAAAAAGAACAGTTATTATTTGTCTCAATAATAAATTGTACTTGCTGACAATGGAGATATGGACCATAAAACTTACGAAATTATGACTTTTATGAAAACTGCTGATATTTCTGTTTCATCAGCTTGTTTGTCAATGATTAACAACGTTTTAGAAATTGTATATACGTAAAGCATGCTTTTTAGTATTGAATCAGTTGAGAGATAACTTTGTATGCAGGTGATGAAGGTATATTCTGCATAAATAAAGGAAGTTGACAATTGAAAAGATAAAGTAATCACGAATATCGTTGAGCTTGCTTGTTAGATTACCATTAAGTTCTTTTTAAAGTAAAATATCCATATATGAAACAGATGTGTCAGACTCCGTGGTATCTTATATTTCAAACTCACCGAGGTGCATCGTATCGACATAAGAATGGAAGTAACTTTTGTTAATTGAATGAAAATACATCGGCGATATGTCTACATATCGAGATGAAGAGAAGGACACGTACAGTGAAAACTGTCTAATCCGACACCTGAATAATCCGACACACTGTGAATTCCGTCCTTAAATTTCTTTCCCATTTTGCTTTTTTCGACATTTTTAACACTGTGCAATCCGACACCCTGTCTATTCCGACACAAATTTTGTCCCCCAGTGTATGTCGGATTAGACAGGTTTCACTGTATTTTCTTCTTTTTAGATATTATACAATTATTGCTGTTTTTTAGGTCAATACAATGATTTAGACACCTGAGAAGTACAATATTCACTGAGCCCGAAGGGCGAAGTGAATATTGTACTTCGAAGGTGGCTAAATTGTTGTATTGACCGCAAAAACAGCAATAATTGTTTTATTAATAATAAAAAAGGATATCTTAATACATATCTTGATTTCAGTATTCAATAAAATTATCATAAATCATAGTGTAGAGTATTTTAACCCAAATTAAGTATGAACATCATTTTAAATCCATATTTCAGAGAATGTGCACAATACTACACATCATTCAAAGTTGACCTAACTTCAAAACAAAGTTCATTTGCAGTCAGATCATAATGTGACAGATGAAGATAATGCTTAGGATTTTGTTCATTTGGAAGGTTAATTATTCCTAAAGGACAAATATTGCACAGCCTTCCAAGTATACATTGGTAACATTCTTAGCAGTTATCTCTCTTTGACCTTTCATTTTTATGCATAGTTAAGGAATCTACCCCATCACCCCAGCTCCAAACCAGAAGACATAGAAAACCAAACTTAGCATCAAAATATGTATTTCTGTCTACTGAACTACCATACCAAATTTGAACTTGATTGGTCGGTGGTACACTCTGAGAAAATAAATACAGGTATTTGTTTGTAAATTGACGAAATGTGTACAGCATACATGTAGACATGTATTTCGTGTGTTTTTGTTATTTTTTTTTAAATCAGAAGAGAACTTAATCAGATTAAACAATAACTACATTATTGCTAGAATTCAATTTTGTTGCTGAAAATATATTTAGTATTCTGAAGAAAGGTACATAGAGTATATTTGAAAAAAAAACCAATCAAAATGTATCGAATAAATAGTCCTTAATATCGCTTTGCATGTTAAGCTTAATGTTGCATAAGATACTCTTTTAAGCTATATAATGTTTTTTTTTAATTGAACCTAGCGTCTTTGTTTATTCTTTCTGTACTTTCGGTCACATTACAAATTTTTCCATGTTAATAAAATATCATTGCCCTTGTCACAGCAGTCATTCCAGCTGAATGTCTCGTGAAGTGTTTATTAGAATGATTATACCTTGTGACCTCGAGTGCGGACCTCGTTACAGTAGAAAAAAAAATCAGTCCTCTAAGACCATTGTATGTTATCTTCAATAGACACCTTGCTTTTAATAGCAACCACTGACAAAAAAACTTAATTTTCCAATTAAATTTTGTGAATCTTTTATGTGGAGTTTTAGAGTCTTATTTCTATGTGTTAATCATGTTTTATTCTTTAGAGAAAAAAAAGTTCTCATACGAGAGTTTATCCAAAAGTAAATGCACAACTTTGAAAAAATTGCTATAAATCGACTTAGAACAACAAAATTAAAGATGATGGAGGCTTTATTTATTTCAAATAAAGCCTAAAAAAATTCAAAGGAATATGATATGTACTTTCCAAAATATCGGATTTTAAACAATGTGCGTTTATTGTAGTCGCCACGCCTAAATACGTATAAGGTCATATGACGGATACGCGCTGCCATGTTTTAAGCGTTCCTCCTTCGTTTCATTAAAAAATATTTGTGATTCGCAAACACTTTCACCAATTTTACTTTCTTATTATTGGTACCACTATATACGCACTCTTTTCATAATTTAGCCCTTAATCAATTTTTTCTGAACAGTAGATTAAGACAAACTTGAAAATTCACATGTCACTCTATCCGTCTGTATTTTTTAACAACGTCAGATACCATTTAACGTTTCCGTCCTATCTCCATCATTCGGACTTCTTGACCTCAGCTGATCATTCAATGAACCATCAACCGCCAGAAATTGCTGAAACTATTTATGAAAGAGTTTCTTATTTATATTTTTTGTTCTGTGAGTATATGATTAATTAAGTATATAATGTAACTGTCTCTAGTGATGATTAAAATATTTTGACGCATTATAACTCGTCGAAATTTTTTTTCTAATTTCGACAATCCGTTTGTTCAATTCAACAGAGTAAAACCGCAATGTTTATTATCACAAATACCAATGCCATCATTTAATTTTCAATTAAAAACTAGAAAAATGACGTGAATTGTGTCTTTTATAAAACTGGGAGAATAGGATTTTTAAGAATTTTTTTAATGTGTTTGTCTTTTTCATTCTAAGAAAAAATACACTTTAAAACGTGACCTTTAGTTGTGACGCGGCGACACCCCCTATGCTCTATGTTTTAAACATCTATAAAATAAAATCAAATAAACATAATTAAATGTAAATTTCAATATTAATTAGATTAGTATTTGTGCATTTTTAGGTATATTGCATTTGATATTATGACACCAAATATGAAAGATATGGACACTGTGACGTTATTTTTGGATCAACCCTCGTAATATTGCTTTACGTCGAACATATCTTTAAAATATTTAAAAATACCTAAGAAGACATGTGTTTTTCTCTAACGCGAAAAAAAAACAACAAAAAAACAATCTGTTTAAGCTTGAATGTATCATGAAGAAGATGTCTTTATTTTTTTCATTTCTAGTACAATCAAATTCGAATTAATACAATATCATATATAAGTAATGATAACAAAACATATTCATCCATTTGCTTATTACATGTGCATTGTATTTATAGCTGTTGAATATATATGACAAGGTGAAATACTAGCTGCAGAATTAAAGCTCGATGTTTAAAAAAAATTGGATTGATGACAAGAGACCTACTTTGTCACTCATAAAAAAATGTATATTTATAATGCACAAAAAAGCTGCGCTCGATTGTGGATTATTGCCTCCAAATTCTTTCCTCAACTATACAAAAAGTTGATTTCAAAATATTCCTCTGACCTCTAGCAGCTACTCTCATATTGTTATCTGCAAGAAGCGCGCTGAACAGAAGTATCTTTCCTCTAAATATGCAATGTAAATGGGCAAATAACGATGGTTTCAATTTTACGCCCACGAGGGCTACTTACAACGATTGAAAAATGTTTTGTTGTTGAAATAGTAAAAGAATAAGCTAAGGAAAACATGATAGAAGTAAAAACATGATAACAGTTACTGAGATATAATTATGGTTTACATCATTCTGTGTAATAATTAATGAGTGTGATGAGCACCGACCTAAACAACGTAAAACTAGCATATCCAGGATTATAGCATGTGTCAAACCCTGAATCATCCATGAAAATGAATATAATGTAATTAGTATCGATATAGATACAAACTGAAATGGTTTTCTTTAATAATGAACCGTGATCAATCATACAAAAAGTAGGAATCGTGAAAATGCATTAACACAAACTTCAAGATTTGTTTTTTGGAAATAGTAAGAGAATAAGCAAGATACACACGATAGTAGTAAAAAACATGATACATATGTGTAAACGTTACTGAGATATAATTATGGTTTACATGCATCTGTTTAGTAATAAATGTGATTTGGAAACTTGACATTTTACATTATCGGTGTAGGA